TAGTACCCCGTAACAGTATTCGTTCTTGCTGTTGATGTCGCACAGTTATTTAAGTCAACATCATCTAATTTGGCCGACTGCGGAGTAAGTTTTGTAAGTCAACAGGATTTGCCTACCGTGATTTGTAATCCTGCCTCGAATGTTTTTTCGAACACTTGGTTCGGCTCCACATCAATTGTATCGGCACCAGCCTGGGAATCGGCTCGGGCATTGCCTGCATGGTGAAATACACATTTTATATATAAATAAACAATAATAATTGCACAAATCGTATATCACTGCAAGCATGTCCTATCAGAGCTTACCTAGTAACGCTAATGCGAAGAGAAACGCTGGTGTTATCATGTTATGGTGTGCTTAAACAATAAGAGGAATTTAAAAAAATATATAATTTCGCATAAAACAAATAAATACGCTTAAAGATTCAGAAGACCTCAGTTATTTGCACGTTTCTTCTTAATTGGGCTGAGTGAATCCACTTAGTTTGAATGAAAGCAACGAAGAAGATCTTAACATTCCAGTAGTAGAATACATGATTAGAGCTCACCTTGAAGCTGGAGGTCCGTTTAGGCAATGAGGTAACTGTCAGCAGGCGAAAAATACTCGGGCAGCCAGAAGATGCCTTACTGACGTAGGGCGAAATATGCAGTCCTTTTATAGATCAAATGTGTCTTCTAAGTGCGTCAGATAAGCGCAGCGCGCAGATGCGTTTTCAATGATGCTTACGTCAGTGCGGCTCAAACCTTTGCTGGCGCGTTACGTCATCGGTCTGTCCTATGGCGTGCAAGATACAGCCTTTTGCTTCTTAACTGTTTGCAAGACACTTGATGTCAACTTGTGTTATAGCGATAGCTTGTGCCCAAAGCGGACAGACTCACTCGATGACACGGTTTAAGTATGCAAAAATTGAGGAATGATAAGCGAAGGAAACATTTGGAAACAAACGAGGAGAGGATTCTTTGAACTTTAAACACCATATAATTTTTGTCTGAGGTTTGCTATATGTATGATATGCAGTAATATTCATTACATTGTCAGATTATATATATTTCTGGACATTCTGTAAAATAGTCCGATTACTTAAAGGGACTTTTTTCGAATTAGTATATTTGATGTAACATTACATACAGATAAACATTTCAGAAGAAGAAAAAGATGCGATCACTGGGACAAGAGTTTTATTTGCCTGACCTCAGCTGCGCATGACCATGACCATGTTATCATCTCCTATGATTAAGGATTCCCGAGGGAATCCGAAACGTCAGTCAAATAAAACTCTTGTTCCAGTGATCACATCGTCTTCTGAACTGCTTCCTGGGACACGAATTTTCTCTACTAGTGGCAAAATAAACATTTTCTGCCATGCGCCCCATTAAAAACTAAACTGGTGGGTAAATGATCATGAGCAGTTCACTTGACGTGATTATGAAAATATCACCACTCACGGTACGAACTAAACACAGGCCAGCATCGGCGGCGTTCGAATAGACGAAATTTCCTAGCCTCTAAAGCATTCACAGGGCATTTTTGTCAATATCAGTTAACACTTCTTTAAAGCAATGTTACCGAGGACCAAATTTAAAAATGGCAAAAGATCAATATTTATCCGATCCGTTAATTTTGAGAGTTCTCTTTAGTTGCCTCTTCTCGTTACATAACTTGGATAAAGTAATATAAAATTCAAATTTCATTCATACAGAAAAATCGAAACAAAAAGCAAGGTAATAATAAATGGCCAAGAGGCTAATCAATAACGTAAGTAATTTAAAACTCTGTGGGCAGCAAAATACGGGGAAAGGACGTTTAAGGCGAACAGTTGGGAAGAGATATGTGTCGGGTTCGAACCGCCGTATGTAGGCTGCCTCCAGGTAGCGTAAGGTTCGAGTTGTTTGTGCCCGAACAAGTACTCTGAAAGCAGTTATGGGGTCTACAGAATGCCCCATGTTTAGCAGATGTTCTACTTTCTTGTTTCATTAACCAGCTAGGTAAATGCTACTTAGCTCTGGCGGCCATATGCCGTTGCGTTTGCCCTAAGCACTTGCATCCGCAGGTTCACGTTAATTCGTAAACACAGTCTGAAGTGGCGTGCAACTTCAAAGCATCCTTCGCATTAAGGAATTGGTAGTGCTTTGGTTGGATTGCATTATGTGCGTTCTGCGGCACATCAAGTCCTTTGAATGGCGTTGGGAGGGCGTCTTTTGATAGTATTTAAAATGTGATCGCCCGTAAATGACAAGGAAATGAAAGCAGTCTTTTTTGAGATAACTGCTGAGTCAGTTTAGGTCGTAGGTGTTTACTCCACTTCTGTATAAACTGAGTCGGATATCCTCGCTTCAATAAGCTATTTTTTAGACGGACTAATTCGACATCCAATGTAACCTTATGACGTATTTTCCTGGGCCTCTGGAAAAGGGTATAGAAAAAGTTGTGTTTCCACTGAATGGGCAGAAAACCCATTATTTACCAGCGTTCCCTAGATGAAACCATATATATTACTTGTGTTTATTCCTCTGAGACTCGTCTGTTCCCTGAAATACTAAGGAAGCTATTACGATTTTGTACAAAAGCTGTCCAATGTTTTTTTTCAATTGCGAATAACATGGACGCAATGACGGAGATGCACTGGGTAGCCCAATTGGACCCATCCCTGCTAACATATTTATGGGCCATTAAGAAGATAAATAATCTTCCAACTTAAACAATACTACACTGTACAGACGATAGGTAGATGATGTTAACGGAAAAGCAAACGACCGAGAACTGCGCTACGATAACCTTTCGCGAAATAAATAATGAAGGCAGTGGCCTACCACATATTTTTACTGTTACGACGAGCAGGTTGAAATGTCCGTAGACTGAGTAGTTAACAAGAATAAAAACAGATTCGGCAACAGAAGCTTATGAATCTCCACACATTAACCCCTACAACCTGCATATTTTCCTGCGAAAACGGTGGTTATAGGGTTTTATGGATGGGGAATTAGGACACGCAGTGG